GGAATGGGCTTTCGAAAATGACAGATTTTAAAATTTCAGGATATACTATTTTCTTAAAACCCCAACTGTAACTTTGTGTACAATCCGGCTCAATCCTGGCTGGATTGGACTGAAGGGTTTTAAATGTGATTTTAACGGGTTTTTATATCTGTTATATTTTATAATTGAATTTGTGTATTTATTGTTGTAAGCCGCCCTGAGTCCTTTGGAGAGAGGGCGGCATACAAGCCCAAATGATAGATAGATAGATAGATAGATAGATAGATAGATAGATAGATAGATATACACTTGAATAGTTTTAAAGCCAAGCATTTCTTTTGCCTACTAAAGTGAATGGAGCTTTCAGTCTTCACATACAGGTCTAGTTTAGGTTACTTCAAGCTTTCTTTTTCACAACATAGTCACATGGCAGAGGCCTAATTTTGATGCTATTGATGGTAAACAACCAGGAAAGAGATAATTTAACTTCACTAATCTACCACAAATCACTCAGTGATCTTCACAACACATTAAATGAGAGATTTACCAGAAAATCCAGATTGCCCTTGTGCCTATTCCAGCTCTACACTGTTTATTGATATAGATAAAACTATTCAGACTTTACTAGGGAAGGATGGCATAAAAATCTCCTTATATGGTGTTACAGCAAAGTCTGAGTCTTTAAAGATATGGGAGGGTTTCAATCCTCTCTTTGTTTTCTTCTTTTCTTTTTTCCCATTCTGGCTAACTTTTCTGCTTTTATGCAGTTGTTTGTATTTACTATTGTTACTATCTATTGTAAGGAGAGGAAAATGTTTTTTTTACCTCTAAATCTAGACGTGTGAGAGAGGTGGAGTTTTTTTTAGAGTTAAGAATGTTTTGTACAATTTTTTATCTTTTTATATTGAATAAAGTTTGTTTTTAAAATTTTAAAAAAAAAGAGAGAGAGGTTGAGTGATTCACATTCTGAGCACTTACTTACATGGAGGAGAAGGAGGACCAATTCTCAAATACAGCTCGTCTGCCTGGAATCCATACTGTATATCAGACATTAATACAATTGAGCGGGTCCAGAGGTATTTCACGAGAAGAGTAGTCCACTCCTTTACTCACAATAGAATCACTTATGCCACCAGGCTTGAAATTTTGGGCTTGGAGAATCTGGAACTGTGCTGCCTGCAGTCCGATCTAAGCATAGTACACAACATTGTCTGCTACAATGTCTTACCTGTCAATGACTTCTTCAGCTTCAACCTCAATAATACACAGGCAAACAATCGATACAAACTCAAGGTAAACCACTCCAAACTCGGTTGCAGAAAATACGACTTCAGCAATAGACTCGTCAACACCTGGAATGCTCTACCCAACTCCGTCGTTACATCCTCAAACCCTCACAGCTTCAACCTTAAACTGTCTACCATGGACCTCACCCCATTCCTAAGAGATCCGTAAAGGGGGTGTGTATAAGCGCACCAACGTGCCTACTGTCCCTGTCCTACTGTCCCCATTTATTTGTATTCATTTCCTTCGTTCATTTCCATGGTCATATTCATACCTGCTATCTTGTACATGTTTGACAAATAAATAAAAATAAACAAATGCCCTGGGTTCAGTGGTGGGTTGCCCCCGGTTCACACCGGTTCTATAGAACTGGTAGTAAAACTGGCGGGAGGCTCCGCCCACTGACCCTGATGTCACCAAAACACTTCTGCGCATGCACAGAAGAACGCACGTGCTGTGAACCAGTAGTAAAGATAAGTAGAACCCACCCCTGCCTGGGTTGTATTGTATCTGGAAGAGATTTTGCTTAGGAAATCTCTGAGAATTTCAGTTCTCAATCCAGGATTGGTTTCTGTGTTGCAATAGAAGCTAACAAGTTACAAGAGTAATAAAAATGAAGGAAAACTGGATTCTGTATTCTCTTGAGTCCTTATAGCTTTGAGGTGTGTAATTTAAATAAAAATAGTCCCCTTTTGTGCAGGAATAATGATATAATTTAAAACTCAATTTTATTAAAAAAATAAGAAAAAGGTAAAGTATCCTCTTGAATCTGGTAATCAAAGATCCCAAGCAAATAAGATAACTAGCACTGATAAAATCACAAGCGGCATCTTAAGTATCAGTCTCCCATAAAATATAATGGGGATATGGAACATAGATCCATGCTGGATAGAAGCCAAGGCTTAAAGAATTTAAGCGGGAACAAAAACGGAACAACCGTGTTTGCATTAAATACAGTAAACTTTTTTAAATTATTAGGGACAATAACTAGAAATGCATTTATTTATTTCTATTTATGTGACCACCCATCTCAAATTAATGACCCTGGATGGTCAACAATGTTAAAATATAGAAACAAAAAAAAAAACAACACACACAGAAACAGAGCTGAGGTAAAAACAAATTTATAAATCTCAAATCAAGACAACCAGGCTCAGGTACAGGCTCAGCCTTACTTCCTGATACCCCTTCACACAAAGACACTCCCAGAAAAATATATATATTTCATAAAGTATAAAATCCTGATTGAATAACTTATTGATTCCAGTTACCTAGATAACCCCCTCAATAAATTAGAGACTGACATAAAATTTAACCATATTCCTTTGTTTTCCTGAAGTCTTTTGGGTCCTGATCTGGGACTTCTCCTTTCATTCTATCTTCCAGGAATTAAAGTTTAGTTCTTTATAGCACTGATCTAGACCTGAGGAACTTCATTTCCCCCCCCGGAGATTTTTGGGTCCCAATCCAAAGACTTCTAACTCACATCCATCTTCTGTTCTCTTTTCCCCCAGCTATATATTCCAGTGATTTCTCTGTTCTTTCTTCTCAATTTCCTTTTTTTGGGGGAGGGGGTCAGTAGTGGGTTTCAATTTTTATTACCGGTTCTGTGGGTGTGGCTTAGTGGGTGTGGCGGGGAAGGATACTGTAAAATCTCCATTCCCACCTCACTCCAGGGGAAGGATACTGTAAAATCTCCATTCCCACCTCACTCCAGGGGAAGGTTATTGCAAAATCCCCATTTCCTCCCAATCAGCTGGGACTTGGGAGGCAGAGAATAGATGGGGGAGGGGCCAGTCAGAATTTTTACTACAGGTTCTCCGAACTACTCAAAATTTCCGCTACCGGTTCTTCAGAACTGGTCAGAACCTGCTGAAACCCACCTCTGGAGGGGATATATTTTCTAGCACTTTCCCTCTTACATCCCACGGCAGCATTTTAAACCAAAAGGGACTGGGGAAAATTTTTGGTTTTCATCAAGCAAAGCATTACCTGTCCTCCCTCTTTATCCTGGGATTCCATAGGGATTAAAGGTTTGTTTTGTCTGGCCAGAAGGAAGGAGCTGACTGTCATTTCCCCAGCCAACATGTTATTTAGATTGACTTCCTATCTGAGGAGAATTTGTGTATTGGGTGTCTGGAAATGGGAGGAATGGAAGACCCCTTTTGCTTGCTATATGTGGACTATTTTGGAATCAATTGGGCTTGCCCATTCAGTATTGGGATGTGCTCACTAATTGTATCAATTTATAATTGTATAAAATTACATTAGGACCAGATTTACATATTGTGATTATGTTATCTCTTCTGTGCTATTCAATAACCTCATAAGCCATAATTTGGCAGTTTTTCATCAAACCATAGTAATAATTTTACTTTCTCATCCTAAACTTTTTTCAAAAAATTATTGTTATATGCAAAACAAAAAACAAAAAAACAAAAAACCTGTTATGTAATAAAACCAACCTTTCATAAACGTCCTAGTGGACAATCATTTAAATATGAGCCAACAATGGGCTGCAGATGCCAAAAAAGCCAGTCCAATCCTAGGCTGCATTAACAGAGGGATAGAATCAAGATCACATGAGATATTAATGCTGCTTTATAAGGCCTTGGTAAGACTACACTTGGTCACCACAATATTGAAAAAATGCTGAGACTCTGGAAAGAATGCAGAGAAGAACAACAAAGATGATTAGGGGGCTGGAGGCTAAAATATATGAAGAATGGTTGCAGGAATTGGATATGTCTAGTCTAGTGAAAAGAAGGATGGGGAAGGGGCAATATGATAGCAGTGTTCCAATATTTGAGGGGCTGCCATAAGGAAGATGGAGTCAACCTATTTTCCAAAGCACCAGAAGGCAAGAGCCTTTAGAAGCCTTGGTAGTACAGTGGTTTAATGCACCCTGTTATTAACACAGCTGCCTGCAATTTCTGCAGGTTCGAATCTTACCAGGCTCAAGGTTGACTCAGCCTTCCATCCTTTCTAAGGTAGGTTAAATGAGGACCCAGTTTGTGGGGGCAATAAGCTGACTTTGTATAAATGTACAAAAGTTTGAAGGCTATTGGTTAACGCATTGTAAGCCGCCCTGAGTCTCCGGAGAAGGGTGGCATATAAATCAAATTAAAAAAAAAAAAGAAGAAGCAATAGATGGAAACTATCCAAGGAGAGAAACAGTCTAGAAATAAGGAGAAATTTCCTGACAGTGAGAAACAATAAACCAGTGGAATGGCTTGCCTTTAGAAATTGTGGGTTGTCCATCACCTGAGGCTTTTAAAAAGAGACTGGACAGTCATTTGTCTGAAATGGTTTAGGGTCTCTTGCTTGAGCAGAGAGTTGGACTAGAAGACTTGCAAAGTCCCTTCCAACTCTGTTATTCTGTTATAAATGTCTTATACAATTAACTCATTAACAAATAAGTCAATTTATTTCATATTTTACAAATAATTATACAGTATATACATTATCTTCACACAAGATTCATTTTCAATATGCTCTTTGAAATACATAATGTAATCTTGCTCCATTGATGGAGAATTAAGATGCTTTCCACACTGTACCTCAAAATCTTTCTCCTTTGTCAACCTGCTAAGATACACATGTTCTATGTTATTTGAAAGTATATAAACTGCAACACAACCCAATGAGGCTCCTAAAATAAAAAAAGTGTGTGAAAAAGCTTCTAAAATGGTGCATGATCACATCATGAGAAGCACAGTTGCATCCTTTCTTTACAGACATTTGAGTAGCGTTGGGTCAATCACTTGCATGTGTCTGGTTTGACAAGGCCTCTGCTGAGTAATGCAAGAAAAGAAGATGGGAGTCTCGGCACCTGGGACCAGGTAAGGATATAGAAATGCACTGATAGTGCCCACCAGAGAAATACATTGGCAGTTTGAAGGTTTTCATTGATTCATTGGTTTCACAGAAGATTCAGGTGCTTCTGTAGCAGGAAGTACTTCCTAATAGCTTAGAGCAGGGGTGTCAAACTCACAGCCCATGGCCCGGATGCATCATGCGCTGACTACGCCCAGTTTAGCAAAGGGGCAAAAGTCATGTGATGAAGCTGTGACGATAAGAGTTTGACACCCCTGGCTTAGAGGGAGGAATGTGAGATATTGGGTCTTGGAGAGACAGTTGCCAACAAGTTTCTCCTGCTGCTGATGGTACTGCCTGGTCCAGTGCAACTCGCTACTGTCCTATCCAGTCCTAAGTGCTGGACAACCCTTTGTGTTTGTGTTATACCAGGTAGGACAAAAAATAAGTGGGGGAAGACTCTGCATTTCAAAACAGTAAACCTTCCAATTACCAAGATTATATTCTGCCGTATTCCGTAATATCAAGCCATGATTTGAGTTAAGACTTTGTGTAGACTTTTCTAAGTCTATACTTTGCCTCAAGAAAATTAAACCACAAAAGGTAATTTTTACATTGTCCATAATGTACTGTTGCATTTGTGAGAAAGATGCTGAAATTACATGAGAAAAAAAGGTAAAAAATCAGAAGTAGCTTCTTTTTCTGTGACTCCTTATATCTACCCAATTTTTATAGAAGAAGAAATGTGGGTGCCAGTTATTATGTCTGGCTTAGATGGGAAAAATTAAATTAACACCCCCATTTCATACAAGCAATACATAAATAGAGGTCAGATGGGACTGTGAGAAGGTAGGTTCTAGCTAAGCCTTTTGCATGATGTTCTGGCTTCCCCAGAAACCCACATACAATGAATTTCTAAAAAGAATTACTGTGTTTGTAGGACCATTGTATATAAGTTCTATGAATATTTCCTAATCAAATGTACCATTAAAATACAGTATGAAAAGAATAAACATGACAACCACATAATATAATATAAAGTGAGAGTTCCAGACTAAAATAAAAGCATCCATATTATCCATGTATGTAATTATTTTCCATGAAAGTAAGGAAAATAATATTAATAATTATGACAAAATATTATTTTGTCATAATATTCCATATTATGACAAAACTTTATCAGGCCAACTTAGGTCTCAGCTAAACTTACATCACTAGTTTTGTTGAAGTGATTACATAGTAATTCACTAGTAAAATTATTTTTGTCTGATTGTTCTAATTTTGTCTACTTTTATCTAGTTTGTATTTCAACATGCTGGATAATGGAACATACGGTATGTGCCCTACCCAATCCCTAGAGTACTATTTTTATCTCCTGAGACAAACATCTGAATTTCATGGTGCTGCATTTCAATACTTATGATAGACATATACTTTATCTAGTGAGGAAAGTGCTGGATAATTCATGCATGGAAATAGCAAAGCAACTCATAAAGAGGAAAAGTGGAAAAATTGCTTCAGGTACAGCCTTGATTTCATCGTTATCAGGACAATTAAAACCAATGCTAGCATGTACAGTATAGATATTTTAGGAGTAAGCACCACTGAAGTTACTTGAATCTATTTTAGTAGATATTTATAAAATGTAATGTTAACTGCTGAGGGAAAACAAATCCTCAGTGAAATAAAATAAACTGAAAAAAAAGAAAAAGAAAACATACAACTCAAAATAATCAACTTGTCAAAAGGGCCTGATTCTTCCTAGATCATAAACAATGGCATCCTTGTGGAAATCCAGTAATTCTACAGAAAAATATGCCTAAAGCAAATGCTTAAAATACATAAATATCTTCGTGCAGAACAAGTCCATCATTATGAAGTTAAAAATAAAGTGGGGAACATGTTAAAATTAGTAAACTGAGCAAACTTTCTGAAGGAAAGTAATTAGGATGAATTTGTGGTGCTGTAAATACACACACGTACATCTACTAGGAATATAAGCCTAGTAGAACAAACAAACAAATGCACTCACCATAAACCATAACTCATAAAAAACGGGTTAGCTTTGCATGAGCAGCCCAAATCAGGGAATTTTCACCTGAAGTTTATGAATCAGAGTTTTGAATTAAATAAATTTCTAGATTAGGTAAATCTTGAATGAAGGCAAATACTTTTGCTGTCTGGTTTTAAAATGCTTCTGATTGGCTATTGAAGTTCATTTCTAATTTTCAAAATTTTAAAACTTTATATGAATGTAAGCCCTGGTAAATGCTGAACTTATGAATGTCCTTGATCCAATCATTTCTTATTTTAGTATTAACTTGCCCATTCCAGTATAGAATTTTGATAAGTATTTATAGCAGTTCCAAATATTTATAGCAGTTTTCTCAATTATGACACCTAGAGTCTACAGCCTTGTGCAATTCTTGGAGTTGTTGTGGCCAGATCTGTATTACATCAGGTTGGAGATGTTGAGTATATACTTGATATGGAAACAAACCCATGAAAACAATACGTCTCCACTTTAAGGTATGTGACTTCAGATACTAGGTAGTACTCTAATTGGGCAAGAAAATTTGAATAATTGGTTAAAAGGGAACCACAGGAGAGCAAAATGCTCTGACATGATTCCTTCAGATATTTATAATTATTCATATCCCACTTTTACTGCACTTTGTACAATGAATGTGATGCACATAATATTCCCTCCTACCATTTTCCCCACAATAACCACAATTTTTAATCACATTTCTGAGCAAACTGGATGTATTCATTGCGATAAACCATTTTAATTGGTTCACCATTTTAATAATTATTAAATTAACTGTTCTAGTACATACTACCAAAAAGAAACATACCACGTTATGGTTTGCTCAAACTATCTATCTTGAAAGTAGAAATATAATATAATAGCAAGTAATATATAGCAAGATTATAAGTCATCTTTATCAAAGATGGTAAATCAATTAAGATTTAACAAAAATTTTTGTAGTATTTTGTAGACTTAAACACCTGTATCACTTGTGTACATAATTTTTTTTACCAACTTCCAAAATGTATATGCCAGGTAGAATATTTTACACACACACACACACACACACACACACACACACGTACTGCATACACACATATAAAATGTACTGCAATTAACACAACTATTCCTCAGTTATAGAAAGCATTCTGCAGGAAAAGATCCTTAATTCCAGGTCAAATTTTATGGAAGCTGAAAGGTTTTTGCTGAGGAATTATTCTGCCCCAGCAGGACTCCCTACAGGTACTGAAATTTGGGTAATGAGTTTTCCATATGAAATTTTTGAATTGCATTCCACATTCCCATACATTGCATTTTAGAAGTCACTAGCATGGATATGGAGAAAATCAGTATATAGAACCTCCTATGAAACTGCATTGAGGTATGTGAAATTTTTATGATTTTTCAATGATACATCACAAATACTTAAGACAGTGAACTACAAAAACTGCAGAGTTTTGTCTTCTTTCCTTCTGAAAATACCTATTAAACTAGTTACAGAAATCTGCTTTCATCACACAAGTCATGAAACAATAATATTTATTGTTTACTTTTACAATAAAATCATTACACTCATGTAAAAAATAAAATTGAAACCTATCTTAATATGATAAATTTCTGATAACATACTGTGGTTTATGATGAATTCATCTACTACAGTAAAATAATGCATTCTACATATTTCTTTTCATTTTATAATTGTTTGAGAAAAAGTATTTTTCACCATTAGAAACTGTGATTCTCTGTGGGATCTTTTCAGTTTTGCCCTGCGATTCTGAAACCAGATCTAAAATTGAGAGAAAAAGTACATGTTTAATAATAATATGGTATTGTAAAAAGAAGCTTTTGGTAAACAAGGTTAAAGTAAAGATAAAGGTTCCCCTCGCACATATGTGATAGTCGTTCCCAACTCTAGGTGGCGGTGATCATCTCTGTTTCAAAGCTAAAGAGCCAGCGCTGTCCTAAGACGTCTCCGTGGTCATGTGGCCGGCATGAGTGACTCAATGCCAAAGGCGCACGGAACGCTGTTACTTTCCCACCAAAGGTGGTCCCTATTCTTCTACTTGCATTTTTTACATGCTTTCGAACTGCTAGGTTGGCAGAAGCTGGGACAAATAACAAGTAACACCGTGTCCCTAAACAAGGTTAAAACTATAATATTAATAAAATTCCAGCAGGTAAAAATACAAGAAGCTGCTTATAAAAAATAAATAACTTGTCAGCTTGAGTGAGTCTTGATTCTATTAACTCATATAGTCTTCTCAGCCTTACTCTAATTTAAGATTGGAACCAAGACTCTTCTGTATGTAAGTAGCACATTCCATTAAAGTTTTAACTCTCTCGTCTCAAATTAAAGTGAATATTTGCAGTAAAACATGAGAAGCAACACTTCTTCAAGAAAACTCAGGGAGATGGGTGGTTTCAAAACATGATTGATAAACAAACAAACAAACACAAGACAGCTATTGCTATCTAGGACTGGCTTCAAAAGATCATTGTTTTCAGTGAAGCGCAAAGCTTCAGATGGAATTCTATCCAGGCATCTAAGAACCACCAGTGCAGGAAGCCCTGTTGCCAACAATGATGTATTGACTTATAAAATAATACCGTCTGTTCACTAAGTTAAAAAAAACATAAAGTCAGTTAAGTTGAATGCAGATAAAACAAAAAGGTAATTTGTAATTGGTTTAAGATTATACCTGTTTTAAATTAAAATATTGGCTAGCATTCTTAGACAGGTAAGCGTCTGTTCTAATTATTCTTATTGGTGTTATTATTATCACCTTCCGGTCAAGATGTATTCTTAGAGTTTACATGGACATCCATGCATTTTAAAAGATTGCTCTTAGGAAAGCAATCTTTGCATATTTACTCAGATATAAGTCCCATTCTCTTCACTGAGACTTTTTTCTTCTTTTTTCATTCAGTTGTGTCCCATTTCTTGGATGCTGCCTGGACAAGTAATTTTCTTGGCAAGATTTTTCAGAAGTGATTTTTCAAAATTGTAAGTCACTAAGTCTTACTTACCAGTATATCTAACTTTGTTAGAAAAGAGAAATTTTGTGAATCTAAAAACCAGATGAAGAGATGTCCTTTAGGTCAGGGGTAGATTTGTAAACTTCAACTCTCAGAATTCCCCAGCCAGCATGACAATCTGGGGAATTCTGGTAGCTGAAGTCCACAGATCTTAAAAGTTGCCAAGGTTGGACGCCCCTGCTTTAGGCTTTAGTTCTAAACACATTTAAAGGCAAAGATACCTTTTAATCAAACTTGACTGCTAGTGACTTAATGAGCACATCCCTGTAATTTTCTTGCTATCTGTGTGGTCCCTAGAAGTAAAAAAACCCACTTGGTGGCAAACCATCAATCAACAAGAAAGCAGTTTGACCTGGCCTTTTTCTAGGATCTTTCTTTAAACCATCCCCCACACACCCTTAGCCTAGAGCCCTAAGGCTTTCTAGCCACATACCAACCAACTGATACTTAGCCTCTTGGGTCTGGTAAATGCTGCCATCTGCTGTGGTGGCAAATATAGTTATAAATCCCACTCAGTGTTCGAGGCTTCATACACTGCATGAAGCCATAGCGTATTTAGTTTATTTGTGGCTTAATGTGTTATGTAGAATAAATCATTGTGGTTTGTTTAGCACATCTGTTAATGTTATATATATGAACCTAATCTTTCAGAAAAACAAATTATTCCACTTACTCAGTTTGAATTAAGTTGGATATGGATCCTACTTATTAGGTCTTAGCAACAGACATTTTTTTATGATAGATATTAAAATGTGTTACCTTATTATCCAGGTATTACTGTACTGCAAACATAAGTAGAATTAGAAGGTAAAATTCTACTTAAAAAAAAATAACATTCCCCTATTTTTTCTTTCATACAACATTTCAAAGTGAGCTAGTATTGTTAACTTCTTCAGTCAGGGTCATAATATTATTATTATTCCCATCCATTATGACTCTTGCTAAGCAGACATAATATTTGAGATTCCAGTAATACAAGCACAAACACATAAATACACACATGTAAAGTTACCTGAATCCTGTCTTCATCTAAATCTAATTTTTGAGCCAGGTCTTCTCTAACATCAATGCCAGGATAAGAGTTCACTCTAAAAACATTTTCCAGTATTTCTATCTAAAGAGAATAGACAAAAACTCTGTTATTTGCTTGTTTTCACTGCCAAAATATTTTAAGCATTCATGATAAAGCCAAAGCTTTTAATAAAAATCTGGATAAGATTCTAAAATATTTCAAGTCAATAGAAATCAATTAAGCTATTTTGAGCTCAGAATGCTGATTAGATATAACATCTGTGGACCTTTTTATTCAGTAAATGTATGATTGTACAGATTCTTGTGAAACAGGCATTTCTGGATTCTTTCTAATCAATGTCCCCTTATTAAAGAATGCAGGAAGCAAAACAGCCATTCTTAGTTGCATGAATAGGTTAAATGGGCTAAATCCCTACCTGGATTTGAGTGAATGCAGTCCTTGGCCTCCTACCTCTGTACCAACTCAAGTCCCTTTTGTAAGAAAATCTTTCATTCACTGCGAAATAGTTTTCACATTTCAAAACTCTTTCTTCAGCTTTTCGGCAGTTGCTTGTATTATACAAAGGGAGTGCATAGTATATTGAAGAGAGGTGCAGGCAGGGCAAACAATCTTCTCCTGAAAAGTCACAAGCATTTTAAACACGATTAGTAGAAAAATGTTTGTTATAGAGTAATTTAAACTCGGAGACAGAGCTGAAATACAATAATCTGATTTTCTTTACATTTTGACTTTTAAACGTGGTTTATAATTTAAAGCAAAGGAACACAGTAAAAAAGGTGAAGAAAATATTGAAATGAATCTTAACATCCATCTTACCTAAATTACTGCATTTATCCACCCATGGCCTGTGAGGTTTTGCAGCTGGAGTACCATCTTTTTCCCGCTCTAATCCCAAAATATTTTCAATGGAAAATGAAAAGGAAGTGTTTTTGCCTTCCCCAAGACTGGATTTATTCTGATGATGATAAGAAGCAGCTGCATTATGAGCATACAACGATCTGCCTGCCATTCTTTTGCCAACCTCCCCACACCATAATTCAGCTTTTACTTAACAAGTCTTTTCTTATAGCTTTGTCAACAAGGGGGTTGGATTTGCCACGTCATTAATTAAAATCTTTTATTAGAAAGTTTTAGCATGTCAATGAAGATTCTCCCACCAAGAGGCAAGAGGAGTTAATTGTTTATTTGTTTCCAAGTAATTAGCAACTAATGGATGAGGGAGTGCACCAAGAAGAACAAAAAGTGTTATCTCCTGTAACCAGAGTATCAGACTTAACTTTTTCAAAAGCACCCATGCACAAGTATAACACTTGTCTTTTATTTGAAATCATTAATGTATAAAATCAGGGCTTGGTTGGTGGCGGTTTTGTTTTTAAATAATACTCCTATGGACTTCATTTACCTAAACAAAACAGCATGATAGGAAACCAGTCAAGTAATAAGTAATCTCATTTAAGTGCATTTTCTTCCAATGAAAATTTAAAAATAATCTCTTAATGCTATTAGGCTAATCCTGAGGAAAAAATGTTTGCTTTTTCATATGCATATGTAATGATGAACATGGTCACTAAAATGACAATAGTCTTTGGCATAAGGCAACTGCATTGGGCTGTCAGAATTCAGTAACTGTCTTCCAAGTAGTTAAGATTATAGAACACTTGAATGAAATACTGTAAAAAGGGCTGCTCCTCTATTTTCTTAGCTTAGAATTTAATTTGATGCCATTTTGTTTGTTTGCTTATCAACTTGGATGCCACCCAACTTGCCAAAGGTAGTGTTATGTTGGCATTCTTGGAGGAATCCATCAAATATTGTATGAAAAATCCCATAAAAATCAAAGCCAGAAACCATAGTTTTAGAAAAAGCCAGAACAAAACCTGTTTTATTGATGCTCAGTGAGACGAAAAACGTTTATTTTCATCCTAATTTGTAATATATTGTGATGGCAAATGAAATTTATAAAAGGCCAGTTAAACCAGTAGAGGTAATGAATTTCACCAATAACTTTATTTATTTATGAAAATTTATATGGCCACCAAAATCACTCTCACTTGGGTGGGTTAGAAAGGTAAGAGCAAAGATATTTGCTTTGTTTATCCCATTTTATATTATGTTTCCATTCTTTTCCATGCTTGCTGGAAAAGGTCTGGTCTGGATTTAGGATGATAGCTGGATCCAACCACTGTGCTTTACAAATCATAGTTTATGATGCTGCACCTAGACTTTCCCATAACAATTTGCTGAATTCCAAGCTGATATGTAAGAGTTTTACGACAGTGATAAGGTAATTTAGGAGAATAAGGTCAGGTTTTGTCCTTCAGCAGAGAACAACCAAAATGCATTAGGATTACAACTGCATGGGCTTCAGCTACAGCAAATTCATGGAGGAGCCTGTAAGGAGGGAAGGTGTTCCACAAGTAGGAGCAGCCTTGGAAAAGGCATACCTCCTACGTTCTGCTAGATGGCAGATTTCAGGGAAGAGACCGAAGGTATGTCTATCCTATGTGATCTGGTGGGATGGAGGCAGATGTTCTCAGGGAAAGACCATCTTGCAAACAACCTGGTCCTATTCAATTTAGGGCTTTAAATGTGACTAGCATCTTGAATTGGACCTAGAAGGAAACGGAGTGTTCATGCAATTTATGCAACTGGTGAAACTGGAAGCTCCCAACACTCTATGCACCGCTGCATTCTGGACCAGTTGTAGCTTGTGGACAGTCTTCTAAGGCAATCCAATGTAGAGTGCATTCCAGTAGTTCAAATGGGAACCGACCAGGGTATGAATGACCTAATATTTTGAGGCAGACATCAAGTATTGCAAGAACTCTGGAATAAAGACTTGCTGGGATTTTTTTCAAATCAAAGTCTTAAAGAATACAGTATCAAGTATGCTTCGTCATTCTTAAGAAGAGATTAATTCAAGAGTCAAATACCACTTTTTTTTCTGTTTACTGGACATTTCAAATAATGTTTAGAAAGAGTTGTCTGTTTCTTTAAACTGAAAGTATAATATGAAAGGGATACTACTATGACATGGAATTTAATATTCATAAGTTTATAAATAGATTTTTGAAAAGAGTAATAACATTGAAAGATGTGAATGCAATTTTGAACTATTATACCAAACATTTGGAACTCATCAGTATGAAGAGTTGGATTTCCAAGTATGTAGCATAACGAAAAATATTTTTCTGTCATGAACGGACAGTTGCATCACTTCAGTTTTACAATCTCTGATATTTTTAATATTTTACTTTTGAAACATAAGACAAAATGGAAAAACTGACCAAAAGTGCTCTGTAGTCAAATGTAATATACAGTATTTTAAACCAGCTGTTTATTATATTTTTTTACCTTTGTTTTTTTCCCATGTTTTTTTAGTTTTGTATGCTAAAGCTGTACATTTAAAATTGAAAAGACCATTGATGTTGATTTCTTTTTAAGCATATAGGAGAATTGTCAATTTTCTGTCCTTGTATCAAGAAACAACTGAGAAGTAAACTCAAAAATAAGCTTTAAAACAGTTTAACTAGTTTCCTGCTAGTAGCATGGGCACTTGGGTCTTAGCAAGTTATGTCCAGAAGTACACCATAATTCCACAAATGCTGGTCACTGTTGTATCTATGAGGAATATTGCACATATATTTATCATTATTTCTTGTAAAGGATTGTCCTAAGCATTGGGAAAATACACTCATTTTTTCTTTATCATTTTTTGTTCCTAGGTTGACTAATTTTTACTTACTCCACATTCAAGCATCTCCTTGGTTCTTGTCAGTGCTGTGGGCAATATTTGACACAAATGTGCGTGTGTGTGTGTGAAAGAGAGAGAGAGAGAGAAAGCGCACATTTGTGTATTGATAAATCTGAAACCTACAGTCGTACCTGGAAACAGGCAATATTCTTGGTAAAACCACTTTGTTTCAAATGTTGTAAGAAGCAAAACAAATATTGCAAAAATAAAATGGTTATTTTTCATTAGGTCTTTCTTTATAAACAAATAATTACTATATTTTGTAAACAATATTTTCAACTGCAGTACAGCTCTGTAATGTTGCCACCTAGCGTCCATGAACTCCTATTTTAAAACAAATAATAAAGTCTTCCTTAATTAACTGGAAAGGACTTAATTGTTACTAGCCTAAAAGGTGAAAGTTAAGAAAATAAATAAAACAGTCAATGTTGTATTAGTTAATGGTTTAGTTGATAATTGTATGCCTTGCAAATGGATTACATATAGAAAGGGAAAAAGGGAAATAAATTTTCTATAAAATAAGAGTGGAAACTCTTTTTGTTAACATTTCCCAGATATTGGCCAGGGATCAGGTTATTTTTCTATTCCCCATCACTCTTTCTCAGTCTGCTAAGCCAGACACTGAGATGTTATGCTTTTGCTGGAAGTCCAGCCACATCTATAAAGCAGTTTTGAAATAATGTTGAAGACCATATGACATTCTCCCTTTGAGTCTGCCAATTTTCCATTCTATGCTTCATCTCCAGAACATGTAAGAGAAGTTGTGGACTTGGAAAAGGAATGCTTGTTGGTCATGAGGGAGCTCTGTTGTGAAGGCTCTGCCTGAGCGGAAAGAAAAAGTTACAGGAACTAATCAGACATACACATTCTCAGCCTTCTTTGAGTTGTTGCTGTATGAATATTTTCTTACCATTACAATAAATGTGGGCCATGAACATCTAGCACAGCAGACAAAAATCAAACTAAACTTCTTGATTGCAATTCTTTTTATTATTCAAGCCAAGATGCTATACTAACAATAATGCATATTTGCTTTATCCTGAGACTGGAATAGTCAAATCAGTGAGGTCTAGAATAACTAATGGGAGGCTGAATAAAGCCTAACACCCTCCTGGTCGTACTTCCATGGTCCACCAGTAGTTTAGGAATTTAAATCTGGCCTATAAAAATGACAGATAGATATGTATTAAGAATAATTGCAAATAGTAGATATCAGGCTGGGCATGTAATCTCTTTTATTTCTTCCACTTTCCTCATATTATTTTTTTTAAAAGAAAGGTTAGACCGTTGCCAGTAGAGTAAAATACTTGGCAACCTAGCTATCTTGGTATATTTATACAGAGAAAAAGTAGAATACGAAAAAATATAAAGACTTAGTAAGTATATCTTAGTTAATAATTTATTTTTTAAAGGGCTTATCTTTGCGAGTTTACTTCATATGATACATAATAAATATTTGATACTGAAGTCATTCTTAGCCTTATGACTTTGATTCACCTATATTATAAAACAATATTTTCTTAAAGTATTCAATGCATTTTACTTTTTAAAAGGGTAACAATTGCCATTCAGCTGTTATTAATTTAGATAAATCACCATCTATGTGGATAAGTACAATTTCTTCATCCTCTGGTTTCATTTCTAATTCTGAAGGTTGACATTTTTGTAAAACAGTATTTGAACAGAATAATATAAAAGTCTGCTTCATGTTAAACAGGTATTTATAAAAAGATAGACTGTATAGTATGTTAAGCTCTGTACAGCATGTTAAGCTGAACAACTCAATTATTGAGCACATATACATACTACCATCCCCCTCTCACTGTGTGCTGTTTTCCAAGCAAAGTTTATGGCTTATCTTATTGCCTGACCTTGATGTCTCTCTTTGAAGTTTCCAGAAATTTAGGATATTGACAGGCAGGTGCAACTGGATCCAAACATGGAAGAGTTCAAGTTAACTACTTTATTGTATTCTGTCTATTCTACAAGAATCTCCCCAGACTGCTTGCCCTTCCTTGAGAACAAAGAGATAAAGTTCCATGGAACCTGGGCGGGGTGGGTGGGTTGTCATAGGTCTCTTGCAGCTGCCCACAGGCTCAAGGCTAACTCCCCGCTTGGTCCCACTCCCTTGCCTGCCTCAGTTTCCAACAGAGATATACTCAAAATTTATCATCAGTTACAAGTCCATTTCCATAAACCCAAAATGTCAACCACTTCAGGTTTGGAAAATGCAATAAGCAATAAACTTGGATTAAACAGTGTGCATAACTGATAATGAATTGGAAGGAGAGGTAATTATTTTTATTATTTATTTCCCCCCTACCTTTATTATATTATTCAAGGCAGCAAACATACCTAATACTCATACCTATTTTCCCAACAATAACCTTGTGAGGTAGGTTGGGCAGAGAGACAACGACCGATCCAAAGTCACCCAACTGGCTTTTATGACTTAATGCAGGCCTAGATCTCAGTCTCCCAGTTTCAAGCCTGGTGTTTTAATCACTGGGCCAAACTGGTTCTCATTAATGTGCTCATTAACCAATCATTTTAGAGACTTCCCTGATTAACAGGGAAGCAATAAGGCAGAATAAGGCTGGCATAAACTACAATTCTGTTTCTTGATGAAAGATTTAGTCTTGGCCGCTATGCATTTTCATGTTTGTATTATTGTAATTGTTTTCATTTTTTAAATTTTGTTCCTCATCCAGAGTTGCTTTGTGAGATGGGCAGCCATACAAATAAAGATAAAATAAAATAATAAAATAAAATAAAGCAATCCTAAAGTCAACCCTAATGTAAAAAAGAGGATAATGAGATATGACAAAGAAAGTAGACACCACAGTTTAAATAGTAATAACAGTAGAAAAAAAGTTTGATTTTGCTGCTGTTGCCTCCATTTGTAGATTCATGCAATCTATCCATCACCAAGATCACTGAAAAGCTGCCAGCTATTAAGATGTTATGTTATGTCCCTTTCACACAACCTAATGCTCAAAGAATATAATGAGCATATATACTGGGAGGTTATTATTTTATTAATTCAATTTATATGCCGCCTTTCTCCGGAGACTCCGGGCGGCTTACAATGCATTTTTTTAAAAAAACCATTATAAAAACATTTAAAAATTAAAACATTAAAACCCATTCACACCATTCATGGCCGGATCTCACACTCACAAGTGAGATCAAGGTATTCATCTGGGACATGCAGTTACATCTAAGGCAAATAAAGTGGACATTTTCTATAGTTCCTTCATAGGTCCTTGTTGCCTTTAAAAAAAAAAATCTGTCTACAGTTGGGGCATAGTTGCAAAGCCCCAAATATCACTGCAGAGGGTCAGTAAGCAAATTGAGAATGAAATATGTTGTTTTTTTTTGCAGAACCAATTCACGTTTTCCATAACCCAGGGGGAAAATTAACCAGCATGGAAAACTCAAGCGGAGATTCAGATTCTTTCTGAAGAAGTAAATTAATATCCACTTAAGTATTTTCTCCCAGCAATCCTGAATTGCCATTTGCTCTAAATCGGCTACACTAAGCTCTTGCCAATCAGCCCTAAATGAGCTCATTGCCATCTTAATATTTATGAGATCCAATTCCCACTCTACCATTTTAGATGAATCATGGCAACATGACATAATAAGGAGGAGGACCCGCACAGAAGCGGAGCCCAGGGTGCAGCGCCACCTGCAGCATATACAGGCGCAATTGCGCCTTTGCCCCACAGAAACTGCCCCTCCGACGGGCCGGAAGCCCCACAAGTGACACCCCCCCCACTTCAATCTCCTCCTCCCCTCCCCCGCCCGTCACCAAACCCCCGCGAGGCTGACAAAAGCACCCGCCTCTTTTTTCGCCCAGCCAGACTGGCCGCTCTTCCAGCCAATAGGGAAATGCATAGGCTCGCTGACGGCCTCTCCTTGTCCGGACGGGCGGCCGCGGGGAAGGGGCGAGGCGGGATTTCCTGAACGGAGCGGGCCTGTCGGGGTGCGCGGAGGCGCGGGGGAAGGCGGGAACAGGGCCGTCGGGCTGGGTGCGGCGAGGAGGGGGTTGGCCTGGCCTGAGAAGATTCAGCCGCCGACATGCCTGGGATAGACAAGCTGCCTATCGAAGAGGCGCTGGAAGACAGTCCTCAGGTGAGGGACCCCCGCGCAGCAGCAGCAGGTTGACGGAGGGAGAGGATAGCCGAGCCAGGCTCCTTCTGCCCCCCCTTCCAGCCCTGGGGAGGTGGCTCCCTTCGCCCTGGGGCGGCTCGGAGGCCATACGCAGCCTGTTGCCGTCGTGCTCGTTCCCGGGAGAGGCGAGAAGGGCTCAAGCCATCCGGGCGGGCGAGAGAGGGGGAGAAGATGCGTCTTTCCCGCGGGTCCCTCCGAAGGGGAGGTCGGGGGGCTCCGCCTTAAAACCGGCAGGGCCGGTGCAGGTGTTGCCAGGTGGAAGGTGCGTGGCGTGATCTCGCGTGGAAAAAGCTGAAGGGATCCTTTGAAAAAGGTTGCGGAGCCAGAGGAGGGCTGTTTTCTGCGGGGCTCGTGTTTGTTTGTTTGTGTGTGTGTGTGAGAGAGAGGAACAGAGCAGTGTGGTACCGAGGCGGCTTCCTTAGCACTTCGGTTGTTTTCTACAGAAGTTCAGGGAGCGTTGGGGGGAAAGAAGGGGGGGGGAAAAGGGCCGTCTCTGTTTTTGTTCCTTGCGTTGTTGTGTAAAATCGTTTCAGTGGCTGCCTCGGATTCCCCCGCCCGCGCCCTTCTTCGCCCCAATTCAAGCGGATGATTTTTGTCAGTAGCTTTGAAGTATGAATAACCTTGGCTCGGGCTGAAGAAACCTGTTTGCCTTTGCCAGGACTGCATGCGTAATTATTTGGAATTAGCATATTTTTAAGTGTCTCTGAATATTGAGCATTGAATCTATGGTACGATTATGAATTCCTGTTTTCTACTGAAATTGTCATTGGTGTTGTACTTTTTCTCCAAGAAATGCTGAAGATGTTGAAACACATCAGAATAATTTTATACATTAAAAGTTGGTACTGTGCCCAGTTTGGGAGTACTTCATACTCCTATGAAGTACAGGTAGTCCTCCACTTATGACCACAATTGACCCCAACATTTCTGTGGCTAAGGGAAACATTTGCTAGGTGAATTTTGCCCCATTTTACAACCTTTCTTGCCACAGTTACTAAGTGAATCAGTGCAGTTACTAAATTAGTAACACAGTTGTTAAATGAATCTAGCTTCCCCATTGTCCCCATGGCTTTTCAAAAGGTTACAAAAAGGAATCACCTGACCCCGGGACACTTCAACCGTAATCAACATGAGTCAGTTGCCAAGGAGCCAAATTCTGATTGTGTGACTATGGCAATGGTACAACAATCATAACTCGCTTTTTTCAGTGCTGTTGGAACTTTGAATGATCACTAACTGAACAGTTTTAAGTCGAGGACCACCTGTATTGACCAATACCCCATCAGTTGCTGCAAAAAAACAAGAAGTAGGAAAATCTTTTAAAAACTTCCTATGCTCTGTTGTTGGATACTGTATCTGAGCATCACTTTTCAGTCGTCTTATGATCTTAGGTATAGTGATTATATTGATGGGCAAGATAGATGCAACTTTGGTAAAATAATCTCTATTGTGGGATTGAGTTCAGTTTTAAATATACTGGTATAATGCCCTGAATTTACATGGTATGAAGCTCTTTACATCTTTTTTCTATTAATCTTTTGAGAATTCTTTAAAATCCAGTTTTTAATAGCACATTCTCCTGCAAGTGCCAGTGGTCATTTAAAGATATTACTTCTAATATATATGTATACAACTCCATTTTTTTAAAGCTGCCCCTTTAAAACACTCATTGAGATCAAAATTAACACACTGTTTACAACAATTCAGAATCAACAATTGGATCTCTACAGCTGTTCCCTGTTTATCTTTTTTTTTTTTTTTTTGCTTTAGTGGAACTTTTGTGTTGCTTGTTATTGATAATTGATTTGATTTATTAATCATATTAATATTCATCACTTTTAAATTCAGACATTCAGATTTGTGATAATAAGTATTAATACATATTACCCTTTGTTGCACTTGTTCAAAAGTATAGTTAGTGATGTTCTTGCTTATTAGATCCAGATTAATGTTTTTGCTTCAAATGCTATTAATCTGTTTTTATACAAAAAACATAAATATTGTTTTTATGTTAAAAAGCAATTAGGTAATTGGTTACTATATTATAAAGTATCCTGTCTCCCCTCCTGTAAGGAGCAGGTAAAATAGGTTTGAACTCCAAGTTGATATAGTCAGCTTCAGGCCTTATCTGCTAAAATAACTATAACAATGATTCAGTTCTTTGTGTGCCAAGGACACTGTCCATGCTGTGGTATATTGTACCTGTTCCACAGCATTGTCCAAGATTACAGCATTGCAGTCTAAAACTTTTTCTTGCTAAAGAACATATCCAGTGAAGGATTCTACTTCTTCAAGAGTTCTGAATATACTGTTTCTTCTACTGAAGACACCTAGGTACTGCATGTGATTCATAGTCCTAGTTAGATTCTGCAAAAGTTGTTCCCCATGTATGTTCTATATCTCTAAACACATCCTCAGCATCAGCATAAACAGAAAGGCAGTTTAGGACTTGCAATACTGCAAAAATATTGCAGTATGGGATGCTTCCACTTAAAATACAAGCCAACAAGCCATGTCCTTTTCTGAAATATTCCACTCTATCTGCTAGTCCATTCCTCTTCCTGTGTGCCCCACTATTTAGATCTTCAGCAGACTTTGAAAATTGAAAATATTCTCATTGAGTTCATTATTTAATTGTCTCCTACTCTTAAATGTTTTCTTTAAAAATGCCTTTTTTAATACTTTGGCAAATCTTGGGATTTTCCCAACCCTATTGATATTTCGTTATTGTTTCTGAATGGTACCGTTTTGTTTCACAAGGCAAAGAATGAGTTTTCAGTTAGAAAAAAGAATTCAAGAAGTTGATACTTTCAATCATTTATTAAAAGCAAAGATTGAAATTTAAGCATGTACTTTAAATGTGATTACCTGTATGGATAGAAAAGTAGGGCTTTCAGATCTAGGCTGCAAAGGTAAAGTT